ACTGAATTTTCCTTTTAGAGAGTTATAATTTTTACACTTAAACATTTGTACTTATGTTACACATCAACTTATTTTTCATTTACAGGTGTTAAGAACTTTCCTCCAAATAACAAACTTCCATAACTCCCTATTATAAAACATAAATTTAAAAGAAAAATGCACACACATTTTCCATCACTACTTAGGAAACCTTGTTTACTTAGCAGACTGATCACAATTGAATTTCAATCAATTAAACTCATCAAGAGTGAAACAGTTTCACTGTGTTGGTAATATATAGAATATCTTCAAGATCTTTGGTCAAAATCTTTAAGACAAAGACACAAAACTTTTAGGTATCCTTTTAGCAGTTTTTTAAGCATTTAGAGTTCCTTCCTAAGGAGCTCATCAAAGGAAGTGCTGCCAATAACTATGCCCACAGGCACTACATCATTGTCAAGGAGATCATTGACCTCGTCTTGGACCAAATTCGGAAACTGGCTGACAGGTGCACAGGTCTTCAGATCTTCTTGTTTTCCCACAGTTTTGGTGGGGGAACTGGCTCTATATTCACCTCCCTGCTGGTGAAATATATCTGTCGATTTATGGCAAGAATTCCAAGCTGAAGTTCTTCATTTACCCATCCACCCAGGTTTCCAGAGCTGTAGTTGAGCCCTACAACTTCATTCTTACCACCCACACCACCATGGAACACTCAGATTAGCCCTATTGTGTCCTCCATCACTGCTTCCCTCAGGTTTGATGGAGCCCTGAATGTTGATCTGACTGAATTCCAAACCAACCATGTGCCTATCTCTGCATCCACTTCCCTCTGGCCACATATGCCCCTGTCATCTCTGCTGAGAAAGCCTACAATGAACATCTTTCTGCAGCAGAGGTCACCAATGCTTTCAGCCAGCCAGCAAGATGGTGAAATGTGACCCTCGCCATGATAAGTACATGGCTTGCTGCCTGATGTACCGTGGTGACATGGTTCCCAAAGATGTCAGTGCTTCCACTGCCACCCTCAAAACCAAGGCCAGCATCCAGTTTGTAGACTGGTGCCCCACTGGCTTCAAAATTGATATTAATTACCAGCCTCCCATTGTGGTCCCTGTTGGAGACCTGGCCAAAGTACAGCGAGCTGTGTGCATGCTGAGCGACATCACAGCTACTGCTGAGGCCTGGGCTCGCCTGGACCACAAGTTTGACCTAATGTTTGCTAAATGTGCCTTTGTTCCCTGTTATGTGGGTGAGGGCACGAAGGAAGGAGAGTGTTCTCAGGCCCGTGAGGACATGGCCACCCTTGAGAGGGATTATAAGGAGGTTGGTGTGGATTCCGTTGAAGGAGAAATTATCATTTCTTTCAGTCCTGCAAGCATGTCATATTCAGAACGTCAGGTTGAACAGCTGACAGGTGTTAAAGCTTTCTGGTTAGACTGTCTTCACTTTTATCTGTGATCATGTCTGTCATTTAAATGCGTACCTATAAAAGTATTTCCTCACATCTCAAAATAAGAGCACTGAGAAATAAATAAATAGTCAGAAAGCTGCCATAATTTGTTTCCTTGTATAATTGCATTTAAGTTTTGTTCAAGGTGTTTACCAAAGGCTGATACAAGAAACAACCATGGAAGACAAACAAAGCATGGAAGGTTCTTTTTCCAATACCTATAAAGCTGGAATGTATTATCACATCAAGCCATCAAGCCTGACTTTGTCCTATCTATGATATCAGTCCTTTAGTATCCATCTAAGTTTTACCTATATTTAATTTCTTAATTGTAATTTACACTGATTATCTGAATAACTATAGCATTTCATTCATTCCTTGTGTGCCCCCCACACATCTCTGTGACTATATATATACATAGTATACAAAGAATAGACTAAGATGGATGTGGGAGGTCAGAGAATTATAATATAGTTGGCATTTTTATTGTCATTAATCCTATATTTAATTTTATATAAATAATCTTCCACAATGAGATTATAGCATTTAGAAACAGTGGTATTTTACAATTTTCTTTTTTTTTTAATATATTTTATTGATTTTTTACAGAGAAGAAGGGAGAGGGATAGAGAGCTAGAAACATCGATGAGAGAGAGACATCGATCAGCTGCCTCCTGCACACCCCCGAGTGGGGATGCGCCCGCAACCAAGGTACATGCCCTTGACCGGAATCGAACCCGGGACCCCTGAGTCCGCAGGCCGACGCTCCATCCACTGAGCCAAACCGGTTCGGCTACAATTTTCTTTTATTCCCCACAACTCTTATCACAAATATTCATTTGATTAAATTCCTTAAATTTAAAAAAAGGAAAAAAATGTGGAAAAATATAAAGCTGATTTCATCTCTACTGAGTTCATGGGAAAAGAAAGACTATTAAAAAAACTAGTATCATAAGCCAGAAGATAACATGATTTCTAGGCTGAAATCATTCATTGTCAAAATGCCAGAAAAATAACCTCACTGAAAGGTGTGTGAAGTATAATCCCTTCTTAAGGGAGTATCAATAATGGACAGCAAAAAGATAGCTGTGATTTTTTTTTTAATGTGCTCATTGAAACACTTACTTAGATGAATTCCAGCCAGATGACATAGTGTAGCTCTCAGGGTGTTCTCACTCCAAACACAGAGGGTCTACTTTGATCATGGCTTTACACCCGTAGAGAAAACGGTACTAATTCTCCATTAGGCACTGGACAGTTATGCAACTGGGACCATAGCTGAGCAAATGTTTGCTAACCCAGTTAACTTCCTCCTCTGTATGGTCTCAGGAAAGCAAACCAATGTTGATTGAAGCTAATGACCTAAGACAGAATGTAAAATAGTGACTGGATTTAAAAGATTTCATGTTGGTGAATGAGCACTTTTTTCCCTCAGGTAGTCCCTGCAAGATAGGATCAGTTTTGTTTTCAAAAAATCTTTCAAAATAAGGGATTTTCAAAGTTCTATCTGTAGTTATTCTACTGCATATAAATTCTCACAGCATAAAAGTCTTTACTGGTAACAGTGCAGGTTTATTATACTTCAGGTTTTTTTCAGTCACTACAAAATTATTAGTCACTTTTATTTGTGAAGAATGATATTCAGTAATTTCCGTTTTCTTCTTCATATGGACTTTTTCTACTTTTTTTAAATTTTTATCAGGGACACTATTACCAAGAAATTTTAATCACAAATGGTATTTCTCTCCTGCACCTCCTCCTTGTATTCCAGATTTCTCATTAGCTGAATGGACCATAAGTGTTCAGCATACTCAACAAGAGTCTAAATCCTAATAATACCTCTATGATTCCCAACTTGGATTGCTTAGACCTGAGGAACTGATATAGTAGTAATGGAGAAAAAGAATACTGTGAAATACTGATAGAAAATGTATATTCACCACTGATAAAATTGCACAGCAAATTTCTTTTTTTTATTTTTCATTCATAAGGTTTAGTACATTGTAAATGTTCAATAATATTTTCTGTTAATATAAAATTGTAGAAAGTCAATTTAATGCTGGTGTTATTCAATGATCAAAAATTGGAATTTATGTAGAGAAATCCTTATTTAATAAGAAAGAATAGAAAACTGATAACTTTTATTAAATAAAATATTTTAGATGTAAAACTCCATAGTTTCCATGAAGATAAATAATAATATAAATGGATAATTTGGGAAATGTAATTGTTGTAACATAGTTTAAATTTAAGATGGTTTTTGTTAATCTCCTACATAATCTTTGTTTCTCCTTCTTGAGATATGTTAATATTTGTCTTTATAAAATTTCCTCATTCTTTGTAAGTGATTTTCCACCAATTTCAAGATTTTTTATATCTGATTTATGCACTCCAAATTACTATACAGATTTCTAAGATCTGCTGTAACCTTTAAGTATTCTCTTCATGTTATTATACTCAGCACTAATTAAATTGTTAAAAAAAATACTATAGTAACAAAACACTTCTGGTAAAGAGCACTTAGAATGGCTACCGTGCCACTAATTACGGATCTACAGGTATATTTTTTTCATCTAGTTAATCTCCCACCCACTTATTATGGGGGGGGGGGGTAGCAGAATTTTTTTCCTCTTGCTTAGTGGAAGTAGTCTGCCTGAAATAAAAGTAAAAAGGAAAGAGAGAGAGAGAGAGAGAGAGAGAGAGAGAGAGAGAGGGAGAGAGAATGTGCAATAAAATATTTTTTAAAGTTGCTAATGTCAAAATAAGTGATATGTATTCCATTCTCTCAATCTACTGGGTCTGGCATAGAAGTCTAATTAGAGTCAAAGAGACTATTTTATCTCCATACCAGAAGGCATCTTGTAAAAGAGGAGGAAATCTATTTGCTTTACACTATGCTTTAAAAACTGAAATAGCAAAATTTCTCAACTTTGAGATAATCAGAGGGGTTATAAATTTGAAGGTTCGGGAAACATTCAATGTAATGTCATTCACAACTCTAGACAGCAGCCTTTGTTTTTTGCTTTGTGTCATGTGAAATAAATGAGTATGAGATTCCAGTACATCAAAGTCAATCTCATCAAAATTAATCTTATAAATTCATGAATGTAAAATCCAAGTATTAGTAATAAGATAAAATCAATATATTTCCTAAAAATAGTCAGTAGTCAGTAACCTTCATGAGACCACATATGGTAGTTACTATAGATAAAACTGAATATATTTGCTCACTGAAATGGAGTATAATTACCAATATATTTATCCAAGCAAAATCAGTAATACTGACAGCACTGCCCCTTTAACTAGCTCATCAACTGATAAAGTTCTTATCTCAAGTCATTAAAACATTGGCTAATAGGTAGAAGGAAACAAAGTTCATTAAAAAAAAAAAACTGCTTTTCACTATTTATTGAAATTAAATAAAATTTAGGTAAAGGAAGCTTGAAAAAAATGAAAACATTTAAGTCTTCCATTAAAGTAAAAGTTTGCTTTAATTCCAAATGGGAAAAAAAAGTAGTTCTCTGCAGCAGAAAGTCTTCTTTATTTAGATAAAAATAGGTGAACTTACAAAATACAGCCGTGTCTTGTTTAATCACAGCAGGACAACTGAGTATATTCTCTCAGAAATCTTCTTGAGTACATTTCCTGGAAAAAAAAATTAAATAAGTAAACTTAAAGGCTGAACATTAAAAAACTAACTATAAGGAAATATAACTATAAGGAAACTAAGTTTGTGTAATGGAAAGACCACACAAATACTGTATAAATTGTGTACCTTTCTAAAAATTCTTTCAACTATAATTTAATTGGGAGTACTCCTAATGTCATTTGTGCCAATATTCAGATCATGTGAAAGAATTTATATAAATTTCTATACAGTTTGAAAATATCCAAACACTTCAGTATATTACAGGTGACTTAACTGACATTTTATCCTATATAATAAAAGAGAAACATGCAAATTAACCGTCCCTCTGCTATGATCAAGCCACACCCACAAGCCATGCCCACCAGCCAATCAGGAGCCCATATGCAAATTAATCCAACTAAGATGGCGGCGGCCATGGAGCTGGAGCAGGCAGGAGGCTTGGATTGCCCTCGGTGATGGAGGAAGCCAAGCTTCCCACCAGCCCTGGCCGGACCTGGGCTCCCCTCAAGGCTACAAAGTTTCAATTATAGAAGATAAATAAATCCCAGGAAAAAGAAAAAAAGAGAAAAAGAAAAAAAGGAGAGGCTGGGAGCTTGGGTCGCCAGGGGGCATGGCCAACCTGAAAATGGCCATCAGTTCCTCACCCAGGATGGCCAGGAACCCCAGCGGGACTCCCCCACCCTGAAGGGACTCTGGCCAGCCTGAAAACGGCCCTCAGCCCCTCACCCAGACTGGCCAGGCACCCCAGTGGGGACCCCCACCCTGAAGGGGGTGTGGCCAGCCTGAAAACAGCCCTCAGCCCCTTACTCAGGCTGGCCAGGCACTCCAGAGGGACCCCCACCCTGATCCGGGACACCCTTCAGGGCAAACCAGCCGGCCCCCTCCCATGCACCAGGCCTCTATCCTATATAATAATCCTATATAATAAAAGGGTAATATGCAAATTGACCCTAACAGCAAAACGACTGGGAATGACTGGTCACTAAGACACACACTGACCACCAGGGGGCAGACGCTCAATGCAGGAGATGCCCCCTGGTGGTCAGTGAGCTCCCACAGGGGGAGCTCTGCTCAGCTACAAGCCAGGCTGACGGCTGCCAGCACAGCGGTGGGGGCGGGAGCCTCTCCCATCTCCTCAGCAGTGCTAAGGATGTCTGACTACAGCTTAGGCCTGCTCCCCACTGGCAAGTGGACATTCCCCGAGGGCTCCCGGGCTGCCAGAGGGATGTCTGACTGCAAGCTTAGGCCCGATCCCCTGGGGAGCAGGCCTAAGCCAGCAGGTGGACATCCCCCGAGGGGTCCCAGACTGCAAGAGGGCACAGGCCGGGCTGAGGGTTCCCCCCCCCCCCAACCGTGTGCACAAATTTTTGTGCCCTAATAAAAAAGTTTATAATGATCTCTTCTGGTACAAGACAGAAAAGGTTGTTTATGCCCTTTATGTCCTACTGAACAGCTAAGATGCTCAGCAATAGCTCCAAAGACAGAGAGCAAACTGAAAATGAAATTAGAATACCTGGCCCCAATTTGATTCAGTGAATTCATGATGATACAATATGAAATTGACAGAATATTTTAAACGTAGTGAGGAGGAATAAAAAGATGAGACACTTGGAGGATAAACAAAGCACTTTGTGTAAAGATGAGGAAGAGCTTCATTTTGGGATTCCTATACATTCTAAGCAACATGTCAAGAGGAAATATTCACAAGCACGTGCTTCACTGCCTCTTATATCCCCATGTATAAAACAGCACCAACTATTCCACTCCTTCTTTGTTTCAGCATCCACTCCAATGAAAGGCAAACATGACTATAATATTGAATTGCCTATGTTTGGTTGAAAGGGCCAAGAATGCCCATGTCGATACTGTGAGCTGACATCAATCTTTTAGAATATCTCCATGTTCTCTTTTCCACGAAGAAAGATCACAGATGGTATTTTAACAAACTATACTGATAGACAATATTATTAATCATTTTCATAGAATGTATAGAGTAATATTATAGTTGTAGATAAAATATGACATTTTCTTATAAGAATTGGATCCATTTGTAGAATCAGTGTGCATGGTGCTAAAGCAGAGGTTGTATAATGGTTTAAGTATGTTTGCCTATAGAATTAATAAGTTGATTTAAAAAGTCAATTGCAGCCACTGGGGCTAGATTGCAATCATATAGGGAAGAAAAAGTAAATACAAACTATATTCAAAAATTTGAAAGTCAGATAAATTGGTTAGAGAAATAACAATGACAACAAAAATGTTTCCACAAGAAAAATGTCATATATATCTATGAAAATTTTCCATTTATTTTTAAATTGTTATCAATGCAATTTTAAAAATAGGTCATTGTTATTTCTACTTTTAGTAAATATTTTTTATAAATTGTGCATTTTGAAATACTCAAAATAAATATTGTATTAGCAATCAAATATACATCAATAATTGCAAATGACTTATTTTGCCAGTTAAAGAATACTATCCTTCTTTGGTTCAGAATAGTCCAACTATGTCACCCAGCTTTAAGTATGGCTACCTTCAACTTTGCTTAAATTAAAATGAGTAACTTGAAAATTTTTCATTTTTTGAAGCATCTCATTTCCACAGGTGATATAATTTAAATGCAAGTTAGGTATTAAAATTAAATTCCAATTACAAAGTATTGTGAAATATCAATGAATTTATTAGCATAATGAAAATAAATAAACAGAAACCCGAACACATTGTGCAGAAGTTATATAATTAGTATTCTACTGCTTCAATGTTTTAGCTTCTCCAGCTGGTCTTTTGAAAGCTTAATAAACCAAATGTTTTCCCTCTTCATATGTACCTGCCCAACATTTACTTTCTTTTGTGTAATATGGCATGAGAGACAAAAAAGGTAAGAAGGGATGTAGAGAAGGGAGGAGGGAGAGAGGAGAAAGAAGAAAGGACAAAGCTTACATAAAGAATATGTATCTGGGGAAATGAGGGAAGTTGAGACTAAACTGTAGTCACCACTTGTGTTCTTATACATTTGAGCATTTGGTGAGGTGGGTATCAAAATTATCTTTGTAAGTGACTGAGGAGAATCCTGAGAGAGAACTAAGTGAATAGAGAATTGTTTAGATAAGTATATCCCAGAATTAAATTATTCAGGCAGAAGTGGGGGATGTCAAGGCTTAGTCAACGGATGGTATAGAATGATTAGACATGAGATATTTAAGAAATCACTCCTATTAGCAATCAAATATACATCAATAATTGCAAATGACTTATTTTGCCAGTTAAAGAATACTATCCTTCTTTGGTTCAGAATAGTCCAACTATGTCACCCAGCTTTAAGTATGGCTACCTTCAACTTTGCTTAAATTAAAATGAGTAATTGTTTAATCCAGAAATAGATAATTTATGTATTAATTATGACAGACTTCCAGTAAGTGGGATAAATTATTATACAATTACAAAGTATTGTGAAATATCAATGAATTTATTAGCATAATGAACAATTTAGAGAAAGATCTGATAATAAAAAAAGTCACTTCATAACATTTATGATAATCTGTGCTTCTAAACAAATAGTTGGGTTTCAAACTGATATAGCTATTAATCTTTCAATCTTCCTATTTCTAGTTTACCTACGTATTTATCTAGTCTATTTACAATTATATGTATATACATATATGTATGCAATATATACTCATAAAATAAAAATCCCTCCTGGGTGTTAATGCACTGGCTATTTTTAATACATTGTTATGATAGTTCACATTATCTTTTTTTGTTTACTACAACATAAATGCATTGTTGAGTTCCCTACTTCAGTCTACACAGGGTCTTTGATTATGATACAAATCATTATGTGTTATTAATTAATTATTAATAAGCAAACATAAATATTAACATAGGTTTAAATTACAGATTACTATACTATGACCCATCCCTTATATAACAAGGATTGCTATTTTTCAGTTGGAAAATTTGGTCAATACAGAAATTAAATGCTATGCTAAAATTTTTTATTTCTTTCCTATAAAGGCTATATACTATATCATATCATATTATGTTTTATTATATAGAGGCTATATAGCATATCATATTATGTTTCATTATTTTACAAAAATTGACCATAGAGGCTATATATCATATCATATTATGTTATGATCCATTATTTTACAAAAATTGACCACAGCAGAGGAAAAAAGCTTAAATAGATCCATTTCAATAGAAGTTATAAAACAAATAGTAGGTTCAGATATTTTCATTAATGTAATCAATTATATTTCCAAAGACCTAATTATGCCAATACTATTTAAATTGTTCCTGGGAATACACAAAGAAACATTTCTAAATTATTTTATGAAATGAACATAATAGGTACTAGAGCTTGCTTTAAATTACATAAGAAAACTACAGATCAATCTATATATGTCTATTCATGAAAAATCATAAATAAAATATTAGCAAATAGAATCCAACTGTACATTTAAAAGCTTAACACATCATTACAAAGTGAGATTTACTCCAGGAACACAAGAATAGTTCAATAATAGGGAAGTCATTTTAAAAATTCAGCATATTAATAGATTTATAAAGAAAATATTAGTTATCTTCTTAAGTGCTGAAAATGTTTTTGTCATGCAATATTCACTCAATAAATATATACTTATCATCTATATATATATAAAGATGTAATACACAAATGAGGTCAGGACTCCGTAATGGTCATGACCAGCTCAGGAGGAGGGGCTGGGCGTGGCCCCGAACCTGAGAGAACAACACACAGGCGTGGCCTGGAGCCTGAGAGATCAACACAGAGGGGCGCCTGCTCTGAGCCTCTGTGAGCAGACAAACACACACACACACACACACACACACACACACACACACAGCACCTGCTACAAACCTCCATGGCCAGACTGCGGCTTAGGCCCGCTCTCCACAGGGACATCCCCTGAGGGCTCCCGGACTGTGAGATGGGGCAGGCTGGGCTGAGGGACGCCCCCCACCCCACACAGTGCAC